GACGCTTGATACATTAAGAACGACTGAAATAATAATTTGAGTAATAATTAATGTGTATTTGGTTACTTTATAGATTTAATAGATGTTTGTTGTTACTGTATTAACGTTTTTACGCTTATACTGTGAGGTAAAAACGTCTGCTGCTATGATTTTGTCTGGTTTATGAGCTCGTTGCTGTCCTAATTTATGATCTTCTTTTAATAAGTTCTTTCCTGTTTAACCAACTTTCTTGATCTTCTATAAGCTTCTAAATCTCCCGTCATACCGGTCAATTTAAATTTCTTACAGGTTACGTTCATTTGTAGGCTTCATAAATGGTAACTACACCTAATTTATTTTGTTAACTAATTCGCAGTATTTCTTCGATAACTGATCGATAACAAACATGCTGACTGACGAACAGACGCACTAGCTTTCATTGTTTAACTCATTAACTGACACTGGACTGCACCAAACACTGGTTTCTCTTTGATGCTCTGAATACTTTACTGATTACTAAGTCACTCACTCTTACATTTATAAAATTTTCGTTTTCAATTGACAACATGAAATTTCTAGGTCATTACGTCAACAACATGATTAACTCCCTCTAGCAAACAAACATATAAATTGAAATATTATAAATATAACTTACAACAATGTATTTTAGCTTCAAAACGAGTATATAAATTCTGCAAAAGTACTTTAACGAAGTAGGATGTGCTAAATATCTGTAGTTCCTTTTAAACTTTAACCCATTGACTGAGGCTGCTCTAAACGCATTCAACTGCCGGAGGCGGATCGTACCTTATATGATGATTTGTTTGTTTGTTTGTTTGTAGTTAAGTACAAAGCTGGCTATCTGTGCTCTGCCCACCACGGGTATTGAAACCCGTATTCTAGCCTTGTAAGTCCGCAGACATGCCGCTGTGACATAGGGGGGGGGGGGCTAAACGACGAATTAGCAGTCAGCGGATTAAAAGAGTTAACAAAATTAATTATTGTTTTTAAAAACAGAGAGAGTGTTTGAATTATTTACATTTTACAATGAATGTTTTCGTCTCCTTCTTCTCTTGGGGAATGAGGAGAAATGTTATACAAGTCAAAATATTTTTTAAGATCATCATTTCTCTCGTTTTACAGTATAGAGGTCTCACTGTGAATTTTTTTTTAAATCACAAACTGAAAATAAATAAATAATCGTTTTGAAAGTATATCGCATTAATTCAACAACACGTAGCAGGACTGTCGTGTGTTGACATTTCGTCCACAACAAGTAACAGAATTTAAGAACAATAACTGGAAGTGTTCATGTTGTGAACAGAATTTAAGAACAATAACTCAACATGAACACTTCCGAACAGAATTTAA